CAGTAATGCATTTGCATCTGTGGATTACGTCTGTCTATAGCAGAGTTAAAGGCAGAGGAGAGCTTGTTGTTGTGTTTTAATTTTTTGTCATATTTTTTATTAAATCAGTGTGACGCACTGATTCCCTTCTGCCCACAGCTGCTTAAAAAAGACTCAGGAGCAGCCATGTTTCCCCCAGTGACCCATACAAATGTACTTTAACACAGAACTGTGCATTGGATCTTGGAAAATACTGAATGTACTCTTCCAATATCAGAGTAGCACATGATAACAACGGCCCCTACGTAGCTGTGTACATGACAGGATGTATGATTACCTAGAGGAGCATCAGGACTGTTTTAGGCACATGATAGCTATGTGATTAACATGATGATTCAGCCTCTATGGAGATAGATATGACAAGCATGATCATTTCTGACGTGTAGCTAATCTAAACTAAACATTGTATACTGCTTTGAACCGGTATTCCTCCATCTTGTGACTGTGTAACACCCTCTCTTGTTTATAAGCAGCTAAATGAAATGTAATGTAATAATCATGTGAAGAACACTGTTCTGGGAACGAGTTGTCCCAAATGCTCTGTATGTGATGACTACTTCCATTCTTGCAAGGATAATAATTATTATCCTGATTATTGAAACTCAAGCCGATGACGAGTGATATTTTCCTAACGGATCTGTAACAACAAATGCACTTGACATGATGACCAGTAACCACAGGGGTCCCTTAAAAATCATGCCTCAATGATTATAACTTGAATTTGTTCTTTTTTAATTTAGCTTTTAATTATACCACACAATATGTGTAGAACAGTGCTAAATCCTTAGCACTGGCTATTTTAATACTGCATTATTATATTCCGCCTTATTCACATACAGTATAGTAAACACACTCTGAGTATCAGCCCCAATAACAATGTTTTATTTAAGCCACCTTCACAATATTTTCAAAAAGCAGTACTTTTTACAGAAAAGCCTCTCATGAGTTGAGAGGATGACCAGAGGGCTTCAGTTTCTGTCTCTGACCTTTTATTTGTTATTCTACTGCAGTGAGCACACTCATAATGGCGACAGCATAAAGCATCAAACTAACTTTTCATATTCCCCCTCAATGTGATTCTGCATACAGTTTACAGTATCAATCAAATACTAACTGGCTATTGCTTAGCAACACAGTCTCTATCTCTTCCCTCTCAAGCCTCAACCTTTTTATGGATACACGTACAAACAAGCCACGCACACACACTTGTTCTATCTTTTGTATATGATTAATAAAACGACTCTTATTAATCAGGCGCTGACTGCGGGCGTGTGGAGGGGGGATGGTGTTCGTTTAAGAGTGCTTTTTAGTGCTTCGCTCTCTCATAATGACCCCAGCAGGGGACCAGAGAGCACACTTTACAATGAGAACCATTCCTCACGTCTTCATGTAGCCCTAATGATAATGATACAGCCGTCCCCGTGTACCTGAGAGCCACCGATACATCCCGGATCCATTAGTCCATTAGTGAGAGTGAGGAGGGAATAAAGAGAAAGAAAGAGGGAGTGGGAAGTATGGACGCCAAACATAGCACCATAGTTAATCTGCAGACAATGTATTGAAAGCTCCAAGTGCTGCTGGTGTGTGTGTGTGTGTGTGTGTGTGTGTGTGTGTGTGTGTGTGTGTGTGTGTGTGTGTGTGTGTGTGTGTGTGTGTGTGTGTGTGTGTGTGTGTGTGTGTGTGTGTGTGTGTGTGTGTGTGTGTGTGTGTGTGTGTGTGTGTGTGTGTGTGTGTGTGTGTGTGTGTGTGTGTGTGTGTGGTGTGTGTGTGTGTGTGTGTGTGTGTGTGTGTGTGTGTGTGTGTGTGTGTGTGTGTGTGTGTGTGTGTGTGTGTGTGAAATAGAGGTCTTATATACTCTTGTCTTGATGTATCTTGCATTATTGAATTCATCCAGCCCGGGATATTGTAATCTTCTCCCCCCGTGGTTTGACTCCAGCTCCTGTCATGACAATTGCTGGTGCATGATCCCAGAGGCAGTAGATCCAGAGCTGATGTTTTATCTGAGCAACTTTTTTTAACCTGTCCAGGGTGACTCATCCGTCAGACGGTGATCTCTTGTCGGTGGGAGCCTCTGTTCGTACGTGGGAAGGCGATGTTTGATATTTGTTTGTGTTTTTTTGTGTATGACCTTGAGCAGCACTCAAGGCTGATTAAGCAGACGCAGAGACATCAAGCTGACAGACTAAACGAAGTGATACCAGCCTGCTTTAGCGCAGTAGAGCTCTTGGCAGCTAGAAGGGGCTGTCAATCCAAACAAGAGAGTGGATGAGTCATAGTAGTCTGCTAATACATTTGAAGGGGATTTTATTGTCTTTTTGCACAATCAATGTCTCAGTTCTCTCAAGGCCCCTGAAAACTTTTTAAAAAAAGTTTACAGCCTCTTTGATGGTATTTATCTATGTCTCTGTGTAAGCTACAGTGGACTGAAGTTAAATCACTAAATGAATCAATGCGTTCTACCTAAACGTGCCTGGATAGTCTCATCACACGGAGCCAGACAGGAGCTCAGGGAGCACACACCTCTGATAACAAATAGTTTCATTAAAGCTAATCTATAGACTTGTTATTAGGCGATAAATTACGTTTTGACAGAATCAAAAACTATTACAACAAATAACTTCTTCCATTTGACAAGCTGTAACCAGATAATATTAAGATTTTAACTGATTATATTTTATATTTATATATGAATCTGCTTCAGCCAAAGCTATTTGTGAATATTTGTCCAACTTTCAGTTTTATACATGTAAATCTGGTTTGGAACATTTATAGATTTGTCTAAAAAGTTGCCATAATCAAACTTTATTACTACAGTTATATCAGACATGTATACTTTGATCAACATCTGAGTAAATCAAACTTTATTGATTAATTACACATTTGAGAAAAGATTATAAAAAGTTTCGACATAAAAAAAGGAAATTATGGTTGGTTTCTTGTTTCATTACAATGGATTATTTTAAAGAAACTTAAAGTGATGTAAGGAGTGTCTTTTTTTTCCTATGATTTCCAAATAAATGATTGGCCTTTATTCATTATTATCACATCAGACGTAATCAAATCTCGGACATGCTTAATCTAAATGACATGTATCATGTATGTAAATTCAGATTTGACTTAGAGAAAGAGCAGCTTGGTGCCTTACTTGCCTCCAACTTTCTGTTCTGTCTCAAGCACCAGTACGTACTCTTTTACTTCACACAGTGTCTTTCAACTCTTTCAAAAGCTCTGTGTAATAGTGTCTTTGCATTTGTTCAACTTAAAGGGGACCTATCATGCAAAATGCACTTTTGTACGTCTTTTATACATGAATATGTGTCCCCGGTGTTCCAGGGAACTCACCAAGTGTCAGAAAACACAACCCTCTCTATTTTCCTCCATACCCAAATCTCTAAAAAAGGGGCTGCAACGGATCTGATAAAAACTGATCCAGATTTGAACACTGTCCTGACGTCAGGACGGTGGCGCTACGGCTATTGGGCCAACTCCACCAATCAGGAGGAGACAGCCACGGCCATTGCCGTTCGAAAGCGCTGGAGACGCTGTAGTACATATGTCAGGCCTGTAGGTGGTGCTGTTCTCACTGAATCAGCCCTTGCAAAAACAGAGCTAAAAAATGTCAAATTGAGCAAAATGAGGCATGGCTAAAATGCATGATCTGTTTGGTATTTTGAAAAAAAAAAAGTATAAATATGCCTTATATAGGTATGGTCCTACACTATATTATTCAAATATAGCATGATAGGTCCACTTTAAAGGTGGGGTAGGTAATTCACTTCAGACACACTTTTTGTTATATTCCATGGAATGCTCTTAACATCCCGATAGCAATGAATACATTAAATGCTTTGACAATAAATACATAACAAAATGTCATCTGTGGAAGCCGTAGTACTGTAAAAAGCACGACCAATCATCTGAGCCGGCCCGGCTAAAATAACTGGATGGCCTACCTGCCTGTCAGCCTTCCATCTGTGCACAAACTTATCTCGTGCCCTCATTGGTCATGTTCGTGTGTGTTGGAGGAGGGGCTCTGTAAGGAAGGGGAAGATTTTTTTCGGTTGTGTATTTTCAAATTGTAGCGCACTCGAGCTGGTTTCTCCATTCTTACCTACCCTTCAAGGGACCAGACTGAACTACATTAAAACTCTATTAACAAAGTACATATTGAAAAAAAAACAGATACTTCAAGCATAAATGTCAAGGCAGTTCAGACTCTACAATGTTTATGTGCTTCATCCAATGAATGCCATTGTGTTCATGTCTAAGGACTATACGATGTTTTCTTATCACAGCCAATGGCAACTGTACATCATTTCTAAGGCATTAAAACGCCTATAACCTTTTCAACCCTTTTTTTATCAAGATTGTTTGGCGCTTTGATTTGATATTGACCTTGTTGTATTATAATCCTCTTCCACTTTGTGCTGTATAATTTTCTCATTAGGGAGTCGTTCAAGCGGTTGGAGAACTGTTGTGGGTGCCATTTGTATAATATGCTTTTTATTATGTTACAGTAGTTGCAATGAACATGTTATATGCAGTTAAAATCTAATTATGCCTCTGCTTGCGTTGTTAACTGCAAATATTTAGCCTTCTCTCTAAGACGGGTAGAGATATGGCGAGTTTATCCAATACATGAAATTAAGAGGCCAGTAAGAAAATAGTCTGATGTGTCCGCGTCTGAGAAAGAATTTTAGGGGGAATCAGCGGCACTCTCGCTCTTTTCTTAACCCTTAACTCTTTCTCTTATCAAAAGTCAATCCGCTAATTAACCATGTGTCTTGTCTCGGAAAGTTGAGATCCTGAAAGCTCTCTGTGCAGATTTATTTCTAGAGTTATCATCCTGATTGTTGTAAGGGTTGTAGATTTTATTGACCATAGCTGGTTATTCCATGGTATACTTTTCTGTTGATCGTTATTACAAAATGTGTAACTGTGATTTTTCACTTTGCTTTCAGATATCAACATGGCAGGAGAGCCCAAACCGTACAGGCCTAAGATGGCCTCCAAGAGGCCTCTCTCGTCCCTCTACAGGTCTGTGTAAAACACTTTTTTTTATGTCTGTCGGTTATTGCTTTTGTGACCTAGTTTTCCAACCGTTCTCATATTCTGCTGTCATCTTGGGTAGTTCTGGAGGAACAGCCAATTTCCTAACTGTGATATCAATGATTGTTGTTATCACACATTCACTCCTTCTTGAACTGTGCACAAGAAGTGAAATGGCAGACATAACAAAAGAAAACACAAAACAGGTGGCTGTCAATTTTTTTGTTTTTTTAAAGGAAATAAGCTTATTATACTTAGATGAAATGATACTGCTCTCATGTCTGCAAATATGAAGCTGAAGCAACATTTAGCAGCTAGTTAGCTTAGCCCAAAGACCTTGAAACAGGGGGGAACAGCTATCTGGAAAAAAATCTGCCCTACAGTAGCATCTTTACAGATCACTAATGAACACTTTACAGTTATGTTCATAACATCTTTACAAAAACTGAATAAACTAAACTAAATCTGCTGGTAGGGAAATGTTTCAGTTGTTATGCTTAGCTAAGCTAACTGGCAACTGGATGTAGTCTTATGGTTACACTACAGCTATGAGAGTAGTGTCTTCAGTCTTGTGTTAGGATTTAGTTATTTTTCTTGCAAAATGTATGCATTAAACAGTATAACAGAAGAATGAAACAGTCCGTATTATCTTCACAGCGGCTACGAGTTTGACTATGACTACTACAGAGACGATTTCTACAGCAGGTATGCAAAAGCACTTCTTCCTTTTTCACTCTCAATACAGTATTTTCAAGTAACTTTCCTCCTGATATTTTGCCCGTCAGTTTTCACCCTTCTTCCTCCCCATTTCCCGAGTCAGCTACTTAGATACAGATGAGTTTTGGGCAAAATAGCCCCATTTCAATCTGAGGCAAAGTAACCACATTATCATAGGCATAATGAATGTCATATTGGGGAGGTTTTATTTCCTCTCCGTTGAGCTTACTAATGATGCTTTTATCCACATAATGCGAGGACTGAATGTCAGATAGTCCCCCGGCTGGTCATTTGCGCTGGCAAGGCAGCAAATGTTTCTTGCTTCTGACATTTTCATTGGTTTGTTATTTATTTCCTGTACTTTGCACTATCCCTGGGAGTGGAGTCCTTCAGCTTTGAGTCATTATTGCTATTTGGGCAATTTGATGTGTCATAGGCAACCGGGAACACGATTTTGATTGGATGGCCCCCGTGTTGTTCAATATGTAGCTCTATCATTCAAACAACTTGTGCAAAATGTCTATTCAGTCTTTTGTAAGCGTTGCTTGTTGCTTGAAAAACAAAATGTAGGGATCTTGGGAGTGACAGCTTGAAAAACATCACTTTACTGTTCAATTCCAGTATCCAGAAATACTTCTCTATGCTTTTTAGAAAAGGGTTTTGCGGCACTGTAATACTGTTTTCTAACAATTCTCTTCTTACTAAGTTTGCTGCAAGTTTACTTTATGTTTAATGTGTCTTCTTCAGACTCTTTGAGTACCACGGTCGTGTCGTGCCCCCGACCCGTGCAGTGATCCCCATCAAACGTTCGCGGCTAGTCATCCAGTCCAAACGCAGAGCCAAATCCTCTTTTCCAGTCAGGGCCTGTTCTCCCTCCTCCTCCTCCTCTTCCTCCTCCCGAGCACTCAATGTCGGCTCTTCCATCACAGTCCCTAAGCGTATGTTCTCTTTTTCCCTCTTTTTTCCTCTAATTCACTTTACCCCACTCTGTTATAAAAAACGTTTTGGTTTATTACTACTTGGGTCTTATTTGTGAAGGTTTGGCCATCATTTGTATTGGTTGTGATTAGATTGTACTCAACTAAGTGATTGATTAGATGTGAAAATAGGACTAAATCGCTTCAGTGTCAGGGTTAACAACATGAGCATTTAGACATCAATATCAAACTAGTCAAGGACTAATACTAGAAACAGCTATCCTGGGTCTGTCGGAACCAAATTACCTACAAAGCTTTCAGCCATTAAGTGAAAAAATATCAAGTACATTTAAATTTGTTTTCCAAATATTCCTTTTAAGTTGAGATGTGCGTATTGCCACTGACAAGAATGATGACCAAAACTGCTAAATTAATATCTAGATTTTATGAAACCTTAATGTTTTCTAATTGTTAAAAAATGCCTTTGTACTGCTCCTTCACGTATTGTCCACATCATGCGATTCAGTAAAATATATCATAGGACTGGGCGATATGTTGATATTAAATCATTTTGATCATAGTTTTGGATATCAGAATATGGCAAGAGTGTTGTCTTCTCCTGGTAAAAGATACATTACAGTAAAGTGATGGGATTTTCTACAATTTACCACACCATTCTAGCTTTACTGGTATTTGCATTTACTTATTTTTTCCACATTACTGATGATTATTTAACAAAGATTTTACTTTGGTAATATTTTGTAAAAGCGCCAATAGTCAACCCTACAATAAGGCCACAAAATTGATATTGAGTTATTCAGTCAAAAATATTGTGCAGTTAGATTTGTTACTTATCGCCTAGTCCATTTGTATCATAAAGTCTGTCTTCATACACCTTCATACACCCTTTAGTAATTGTACCTCAGCCAAATTTCTCGCAATAACCTTGTCTAAGTGTTATGACCATGGGCCTCCTTGTCAAACTTCACATTAATTATGATTTTTAACTGTATTCATGTATGCACACAGTGAAGACAGACCAGCTCCTAACAATCAAGAAGGAGCTGTCACAGATCAAGAACAAGATCGACTCTCTGCTGGGCCGGCTGGAGAAGATTGAGAGGCAACATCGCTCTGACGGCGGTGAGTTTGACAGAGGGGGAGGACGTGTCTGCGTGAGAAGCATGAATTTATACATGTGGAGATGAAAGACAAACACGGGGCGGAGTGATACAGAAAATATTGACGCTGGAGACTATACTACTGGTAAAAAATAAGATGTTAAATAAATCTGAACCGCTCGGATGTTAACTGCCGCTCTCTCTTTCCCCAGACATGCAGAGGAACCAGGAGGAGGTTTGTGAGCGTCTCCATGGTGACGCAGCAGACCACTCGAGTGCGGAGGAGGCGGCCGAGGTGGAGGCGGGGGAAATGACGGATGGCGGTGAAGACGACTTTGAAGATGAAGGAACCGGGGATATGGTGAGTAGATCAAGTAGACATTTACAGTCTCAGTAAAGAGCGAGAGAGTTCCTCCTGTCTGAAGGAAATGCTGTGATATATAGGAGGTGTGTTCGACAGGATCTCTGTGTGTGGGTTTCTCTATAAAATAAAAGTCACCTGATGTGTGCTTGCTCTACTGAACTTGTTCGATTTGAAGGATTGACGTCTTATTGTTAAAGTAGTAGATTGACATTTTTGGGAACACATTCATTCTCTTTTTGGCTGAGAGTTAGACGAAATGATTGATACAGCTCATGTCTGTAACTGGAATAAGAAGCCACAACCAGGAGACACTTAGCTTAGCATAAATAATGGAAAAAGCAGAAACAGCTAGCCACTATTGGGTTGATTGTGCATTTGATTTGAAGTTTACTTAAAAAACACGAAGATAAACAATTACAGTGCAGGAAGAGGCAGAAAACCTATTGGGCCAATTTGAAGCCTCCAAATAAATATGTTAACATTTGTGTTAAAGAGAATATAAATATAGAGACTAATAAGACTTCCTTATAGTGATGGAAATTCTGGGCTCTGGTTAAAAAAAAAACGAATAAAACAATGGATATAAATATACCTAAAAAAGACAGGAAAACTAAACCACTGATTTCTAGTCATCATTACCATATTCTGCTCCTACCAATAGATATCATTTTGTATAAACTGAGCAAACAACTTCTACTCTTACACTACTTTAATGTAAAATAAGTGCCAGTAGATGCACATTTTCTGGGCAATGATATACAGACTTTATCTGATATTATTTCTGCAACATTACTGCTATGTCTTTGCATCTTGGGACTCCTTTTCTGATGATAAAAAAAAAGAACTACTCTGTGTTTATGTCCTACAGGCAACATACTTCCATTTATTATATAAGAGTTTGAGATAAAAAATGCTGTTCACCTGGTATCAGACTTAGCTGGGGGTGCTGAAGCTAGAGACTATGAAACTTAATGAGAAATCCTCTGCACACTCAAATCTCTGCAAAATCTTTAAATAAGTGAGTTCAAGGTCAGAGACTTTTTTTTAAGAAAAAAAGGTAGCCCTTCAATGAAATATCTGAATGGAGAGGCTTAACCTGTTAAGCCCCATGCCCGCGGTACCGGGGGCAAAACGCAACATCTTGCAAGAAACAGCATCTGAGGGCTTCTTAACATTTAACAAACTATGAATGTGTCGTACCCACTTAACGGGAAGAAACTCAGCTATCAGACAATATGAACCATTTTTAGGTAAACACAAGGGTAATACCAAGCCTCTGAATTAGCACTAAGCAAAAAAATGCTAACGCACTTAGCACAGAACTCACGCTAGAAATATTTTATACTTCATTGGTTCTGCACAAACAATGGTATAAGTATCATCACTCCACGACCATAACTCAGGGCAGCGAAGGCGAAACCAGAGCACAACAACACACAACTTAGCTTTACGGAGCCAAAGCGGCAAATACGTCTTACCTTTGCTGTTTTCTGATCAAAAGTTGTGTTCAATGGCATTAAAACGATAAAAACGCTGCTGAAGGTTAATCCAATGTGTCTGTGTCACTTTGAAATGATGCGGGAGGGGGCCATGGGGCTTAACAGGTTAATCATTTTTGTGTTGTTATTTATTGTGGAAAATATGAAAACTGATCAATATATAACAATACTGAATAGCTTTAGAAGCAGTTTTTGTATATTCTGATATATTTTGCCGTTGGTATGTCATGAAAACCCATCCATGTCTATTTTCTTTAAAAGCACATTTTAAAGTGTATAAAAACCCAAATTCATTAAGAATTAAAGAAGGAGCGTTTATAACAGCAGCTGTCAATCTCACTGATGTCTTTGTGTTTAATTTGCAGATTGAGAACCACATATCAGACATTGACAACTGAGAAAGGTCAGTATTTAATCCCTTCTTAAAAGGGAATCATTCTTATTGACATGAAAGCAACTGTCATTTCCTTTTGTGAATGGACTTTTAGCAGTGAAGGGATAACAAATGACCCAAACCCCTTTTCAGCGCCCAACAACTTGGTAGTTAATAATCAACAGCAACTCAAAAGATCAGTTTATATTCCACTTTTAGGCAGAATGAGAAACGCTGCTCATCCCTTCTTCTTAATGGCCTGTCATTCTCTCCGTCTGCGAGCTTAAGGGAAAGCTTCTCTGCAGTTATCGCTGATGATGTCTGAACAGCCGCTGAGATACAACTCCATCTCATCCCTACTTTCCATCAGACGACATTTAAATCCCCTGATTTTCTTTGTATGAACAAATAGCTTTCAGATTTAATTTGCCTCTGGGCTGACATTTCCTCCCTGCTGTCCTCGAGTGCCCGATAACAGAAATCTCTTTCGGAGCTCTGAACATGATGGATCATTAAGATGATGGTATAATGAACTCTTTCCTCAGGTGGTTATCTTAGTGGTTGCTAACATTTATTTTAATATACTCGCAGCCCCATACATCTCCTCTGTTTTTCACCTCACAGGGAAATCTTGCAATCAAAGCACCCTTGAAATGTAACTATATTTTCTACGTAGATTTCCTGGGAAAAACTGCAGATAATAATTAACTTTCCCTCTTTCTGTCTTGTTTTTCATCTTTTCTTCAAGCCAGGGGAAAAAGGAAGCGTATAGTTGAGGAAGCTGGGAGAAGAGATACCAGCAAAACCTTCTTGATCAAGAAGGTGCATTTGAAATTAAAGGAAAGCAATGACGGGAGTGACTGACAGCAGAGGAAGAGTTTTTCAAACTAGTTTTTTTGCTTATTTGCCTCATTATAACATGACACTCCTGATGTGTACTTCATCAAAATGCTGGTAGTGAATATCCTCCAGAATACTGCGAGATCAACCGCAAAGAGCAATCAATAATTTACATTCAAGCTGATTGCATATCTGAAAAAATACGGACAATATATTGTGTGCTTACTATATTTTGGTCTGTATTGTGCATAAAATACAGTGTTCAATGAGATGAACCATGAAATGCCCTCTTTTGTTGTTAAATTGAATGTAGGAAAAACACTTGATAATTATGTGATTTTGCTTAATTTGTACATTTTGCTGAAATGTACACGTATGTAATTTATTCACAATGTCTCCACACAGTGTTGTGTATGCATATCATGTTTGCCGTTTGTTACACATGATGAAATGCATTTTAAATTGATTTCTGTACATTCTGTATTTTTTACTGTCTGCATGTTTTAAATGTGGCTATTATGGATTATTTGTATTCATTGCATCTGTTGTACAGCTATGGATTATAGACGTTTTTGAAATAAACCCGTTCCTCTCAACAAAAAGAAAAAAAACAGCCGGCCTGAGTGTTGTGGCTTCAATCGTGAAGGAAAAAACGTACACTGTGAGGGTTTTATGCTCAGTACAAAAAAGTTATTTTCACTTCATGGCTTGCAGAACAACTTCAAGAATCTTTTATTAACAGTGTATGACATGAGAAGCACTCAAAAGTTTATACCAGCCTCCAAATATATTTATCCTCATTAGCAACATGGCTGTTGGTCCATCTGTTTGTCTGTAAAGTGTCACCACTTTAGTTTCAATTAAAATATAGATACTGATGGTTTGAGGTTTGTCGTGAACATTTGTTTAGATATTTATGTTCCCGAAAAGATTAATCCTGCTGACTTTGTCGATCCTTTGACTCTTCCTCAGCAAAATCATGAATTTGACTTCTGTATTTGATGAAAATGTTTTAGGAAATCTGATTTGATTACTATGAAATTCTGTTGGGTGATATAAATATAGCTTGTAGATTGAAGGAATTTAATTGGCAACTATTCTTTTCATCAGTCATTTCATGGCAACTGGTTTTTATATGTGATGCTTTGATGCTTTTACCATGTCATTATTTTCACAATTTTATTAAACAAGCATTGTGAACAGAGTGCCTTTCTTGCTTTTTTCTCCAATTAAACAATTTATCGATTCGCCAAGCAAATGATAAATATAATAATCTATAGTTAAAATAAACAAGTTGCAACAACAGTTAAATGCTGCCTCCATATTAATGCAGATATAAAGAGTAAACTTTTACACATTTAGCTGCTTTGTGTGTAGTTCCAGCAAATGATAACATTAAAGCTGTACATTGTTTACAGCAGTGTGTTAGCATTGTCATTGTTGCAGTAATATCACAGTGCTACTAGATGGAGGCTTTTTTACATTAACTTTTCTCTCCACATTCAGACTCTTTTTTTGTAAAACAAATGGGAGTAGTGGGGTGAAAATAAAGGCACATAGTGATGCTAAACTTACACATTCCCCACTCTAGTTTAATTGAAGCCTTCCTTTACATTAGTTTTGTTCTGTAATTGGCTACAAGAATATTCGTCTTAGTTTGTCTCTTTTTATCCAATGCCCTTGAAAACTAGAGTTAATGAGTGGTAAGTGGTGATGAGGAAGCGGCAGATGGCATTTCTATTTCACTCACTTCATTAGCACCAGATCATCATTTTCACAGGTTAAGGAGGGCCATTGGCTGGGCTGCGGGTATAATTGGTTCTATCATTGCTGGCTAGAAGCCAGTGAGTGCAATGATCAGTCATGCAGCTCCTCAAATATGGACAATGTTCAGTGTGTGATGAAGTAAATCAATCACCGGCTTGTAGCTGCTGCAGGAATTATGAGTATAATAGGGGTCGGGATCTTTATAATACATCTGTGATTACTTGAGCAAGGATGCACAACTTGCAGCAAGCTTTGTTTCACAGGCCTATAAGTCAAAGATAAAGCTAATGTGGGAGGTTTGGTGAATTATATCTTAGAGAAAGCCGGCATAAAAGGAGCCATTTATATTTAATGTATTCCTTTATGAATAATTCCAAAATGGCTAAATCTTCGGTCATCAGCTGAAGTTCTTCTAACTTGGTATTTGGCGGTCAAATTCAATTTGACTTTTTTCCATTCACACTATTTACTGGATAGAAAAAGTCACATACTTTCTACACTGTGGTAATGCTACTTTTAGTACATAGTGCTTTTTTTAAATGTATTATAATAATATATAATATATACTTTTTTAATAAACATCATCCTAATTGTATTATAATTGTTTTCGTCTTTGTATTCAAGAAAGTGTTAGAAAAAACGAAAGAAAACTAACCGGATGTGTCCGTTAACTATATCACCGGAAGTACGACACCAGAAGCGGCTAGTTCAACTCAACAGAAGAGAGGCTAACAACAACAACACATGTTTTAACGAGCTCACAAGTGCTTCTTTGATACAATATAATAATTATAGATATAGTTAAAAAGACAACACTTGCTGATTGTCCCAGCTTGTATAACTGTGCTTTGTAAACGGGTTGTCTACTTAGCTCTATCGCTCTAAACTTGTGCTAGGCTGCTAGGCAAACTTAGCTTTAGATTTGACTAACATGATGATAATTGTTCTAGCTTCCATACGTCACATTTGACGGTTAAGCTATCTTCAGTACAAACGGCATAATAACGGTTAACGCTGCATGTCGTCGTCATGGGAGACAAGGAGCTGAGTCTTATTGACAAAAATATAACAAGGTAACGTTATTAACGTCTCATCACTGCTATTCTTTTAAAACTCGTTTTAATGAAAACTTGCTCACTTTTTTCATTCGTAATTATAAATTAGCCAAATTAAAGTCCATAATAATCAGTAAAAGTAGCAATAGATGAGAAGACGGGAAGCTAATCTGCAAACATCATAATCACTGAAGCAAACAGAAATGCAGAAAGGCCGTTTTTTCTGTGTCTATATAAGTAAACTGGGTGCCTTTTGTGTCAAGACATTTGAATATCTTCCCTTGAGCTTTCAAAATGTGTGAAAGGTATTTTTTTTACACTTTATGGGACAACAATTGAAATGATTGTCATTATTTTGCTGCAAATATTGGAAAATCTTTCCTACAGAGCATGAGGTCAGGTCACAAAGCAAAAGTGTTTTTCTTTTATGGTAAATCTGTTGTTTCCTCTTGTTTCTTACTTTGTAGCTTGCTGGATGTCCCCCTGAGTCCCACTGTAACTTCGCTGAATCTGCACTGTAATCACATCCCAGGGATCGAGGGCCTGACCTCAGCATGGCACCTGCGCCACTTAGACCTTTCCTCCAATTGCATTTCTAAGATTGAGGGTCTAAGCTCCCTTACTTCCCTGAGGACTTTACATTTATCCTGTAACTTAATCACGAAGGTTGAAGGTGAGTCTTTAGTCGCACATTTTTCTCGACGATTAATGTTTTATGGGTGTTCTTCTCCAAGTAATAACTCTTAATTATAAACTCTATGAGGTGTATAATCACTCAGTTGTTAATATCCCCTCCCTTTTATCTCAGGACTGAATGGCCTCGTGAACCTAACAAGATTAAACTTGTCCTACAATCAGATAAACAACCTCACTGGTGAGTTTAAAAAGGACTGAACAGACTTTTCTTTTTCTACCCTCAAATAAAAACACACTTAGCTGTGAGTGACATGTCAATGCTGTTGATGTCTTCATTAGGGTTACTCTATCTTCATGGAACGGGATACAAGCTGAAACACCTCAGTCTCCATAGCAACAACCTGGACAACATCGACCACGTCCTGCAGTGCCTGCTGGGATCGCAAAGTTTAAGAGAGGTCACTTTGAGCCAGGATGGCAGAGACAACGCTGTGTGTAGGTTGCCAGGTAAGACATGAAGAGCTTATTTTGGAGTAATTACATGTAGTACATGGGACTGTTATTTTACTTCACTTTTAATAATGATTGGCAAGTAATTGTTAATTGATATGCTAAGACTCTCATGGTCATCCAAGCCGAAATGACATGTGTTTATATATTATACATGATTATATATTACACTCCAGTAATTTCGTTTACCTAGTTAAAACAAAAATGGAGTCTAGATTTCTGCTGCAGGCTGAGAACCCTCCTTTGTAGATTGCTCTTCAGCACCCCATGTATTCATTCCCATTTTGAAAAAAACAGCACTGAACAAGTTTGCAGGTTGTTTTGTTGTTGTTTAAAGGCATCTAATTCTGAATACTCTTGTTATAAATTGCTTAGGAGAACTGCATGAGCCAAAATAATGTAATATCATCATGTCAAAAAGCCCTGCATAAAACATGACCTTTCTAAAGGCAATAAAGCTGAGTTTCCTGTTAACGACGTGCAGATTGAACTCTATGGTCCTTTTGTAGCTTTGTGTTTTGCTATTCTGTTTGCCACGTATCAATCATGGCAGACTAAAGACTAGAAACACCTCTCAATCGATCAGCATGAAAAACAACAGCCTCCATTACAAACTCCAAATCAGTTTGAACACCATTGTGACGGTATATTTGATTATTTATGCTATTAAATTAATTATAATGTTTAAACTGACAGCTTGAGTGTACAGAAAACATGTTACGCCTCAGACAATGAATAAATGTAATAACGGACATCCTCACAGTTTTTGCTATAAACAACCCTTTTACATCTCTCTCTGTTGTTTTTGATGCATCTCCGACAAATCCTAGAGGATAATTGTTTTTATTAACAACGCATAAATCTCCCCTTGTATTGCCAGTAATGAAAGCACAATGAAAATCAGTGGTAGACAAATTGACAGCTCCTGCTAATAATGACTGAGACGTATTTATCTCTCCATGCATCTTATGCCTGTGTCTTTTCATTTCATCTTGACTGAAGATATATAAATCTAAAAATCGTTCCAGTGTTTTCCTATAAATTATGCTGTGCACCCATTATCCTTGTCTTCCTGCTCATAAGTAATGCATGGCAGCAGCGTTTGAAAGTACGTGTTTAAATCCATGAGGGCACACTTAAAGCAGTTTTACAACCCTTGCTGTCAATATGCGATGGTTCACTCATATTAGAGGTGCTCAGTTCTCATTTAGTGAGGCGCATCAATAGTGCATGTGAGGATAGCACAGGTTATTTGTTTGGATATAGATTATTTGATTGTGTGCAGCATAACACCTGATGTTTTAACCAAGCCTGTTGTTACAATACTTAATAATGGTGTATGTTTGGACAGCCTTGCAGCTCTAGTCTGGTCAGGTTTTTTTAATGTATAGTGTCTGTGTGTCTGTCTGCAGGTTACAGGGAGATTGTTATTCAGTCCTTGCCACAGATCTCTTCTCTGGATGGTCTGGACAGGTTGGGAAATGCATCAGCTGGAGGTCTCGGAAGTCCCTTTGATATCCCTGGTCTGGAAGACTATGTGGACCTCTTAATGTCCTCAGATACCAGTCACAACGAAGCGGTAAGTTATGATGCCATACTACCATTATTGGCCGTTATATTAACAACTTTGTATGTTATTATAATGACCATAGTCCATAGGCCAACATGGCAACATACTAGTATCAACAACACACAGTCGCAGCAGAACTCACCCGCAATTTATTTACAACATGTATTCACAGCATGAAAAAACAGTGCATGAAAGGAATGAGAGAGAGAGAGAGAGAGAAGCTCCACCTCAAAACTGATAAATTCCTCAATTTGGATTTTGAATGTGGCTTTTGAATAGCAGATATGAAGGTCACTTTTTAAATTAAGTTTTGTAAACAAGCTTAAAATTATGAATTGCCTGGTAGTGGCAAGGATCAAAGAGAGAGAGCACCCACTCTGACAGATAAACACTCTTCTTATTTATTGTGGGCAAAACTGAAATGCATTTGGTTTTGCCTAATAAAAATAAGAGGACAATTTATCTGTGAGTTCTGTATTTATGATCCTTCCAACCAATGTTTTTTTAATATTTTACAATACAAATGGACAAAAGCACAGTACAAAATGAAATTTGCCACATTTAGAACAAACTCTGTGTCTACTGTACATATACATTTACTTCTTAATACTAAAGAATTTCCCTGTTAAAAATAATTCAACACCTTACATTGTGAAGACATCAGAAA